ACAGGGGTCAGGTCCCTGCTACTGGATGCCTACACTTTCGCTGTTGAAGTTAATGGGAGCTTTGCCAATCAACTCTGTGGCAACAGCATCTAAATCTAAAATAGATGACATCCTGGGCTCCATTCAGTTGATGGCTGAAGCAAAGCTTTGCCAAAGCCAATACTGTTCTGCCTGCACAGTACAGATTTTATCCTGGGACAGGTGAAACAGGAGAGGTAGGTATACAGGTGTTAAGTTTCAAAGATGGAAAAGCAGAGAGATTGACTGAATATCATAGGAAGCATCCTCTCTTCCCTTCTATCATAAATTACAATATATAGACTGAATCTAAACGGCTGCATTCCAGTATCTCTTATTCTTCAGTTTTAGCTGGACTGGCTGTTTTCTAATGATCAAGTACTTCTAACATCAAGTAAATGAATCCTGTAGGAACACAACTATGAAAAGGACATGATGGGAAGCCTGCACTGTCATGTGATTCGACATGTTTGAAAACAGTGTCCTGATGGTGTAACCAGTTTGGATAGACTCTGTGAAGTAAGTACCAGCATCTATATTTGCAAGTTTTCTGGGCTTTGGACATGCTTGTGATACTGGTTGCACAGTTGTTTCTTCTTCCACTCGTTCATTATCATACTTGTACCCTGAATTCTGACTCAGACTGCCTCTTTTCCTCTTTGTCTCACTCTAGTACTTAATTTTCCTCAATCTTGCAACGTTGCAAATCAGAAATCAGGCATCCCAGACACCTCTTCCACTCCTCTGTGCTGCTGAGAGACCAGTCTGTACAGCAGCAATATTTCCCAACCTTAGCTCATGCCTCCTCTGCAGACCTTACCATGCAAGGAACAGGTGATGCTTTTTGCTCATGTTTGTACCAGGAAAGGGTTGAGATTCTCAGTAGCTATTTCAGGTAACACATGCATATGACCAGCCCTTCAATGGTACTGACCCTTCCCTGATCCTACACAGGGCCCCCAAGAGTGTGTGTTAGTCCAGGATGAGTAATTTGGGGTCACTTTAATTCTAGGGAATTCCTGAACATGGTGGGTGCCTACACACTGAAGACATTACTTTACATGAGAATGAAATCCAGACATGAACCTGCAGGGGTGGATCTCACTGGTCATTCATAATAATCACACGGCTTTATAGTCCTTCATTAAACTTTAGCTCTTTCTTTGTCCTTCAGCAAAGAGCTCCACAGCCCAGTTACATATCACCTAGAAATGCATGTCTTAATACCCATTATTGTGGTCTTCCCTTCCAATTTTCTTGAAGATCTTCATGTTCTCATATTAAGGAGCTGGTGTCCCAAAAATCTAGCAGGAAATTTGGTGAGAAGAATATTCTTCATCCAAGCATTTCTATTGAATACTGAGCTAAGTCCAAGCTATCAACCTGCAGGTAAGAGCCCACTGTCTGTTCTCTCTGATCTTCCATAGCCAACCAAATCTACCACTACTGACTTTTGCAATCTCCACCTTTCCAGCAAAAAAGAGAAAGAGAAACACAGATTGAAAATGATAGGTAAGAAAAGATGTGCGCAGACTCTAACTGGCACTATAACAAGTGAACCTTGAAACATATGGCTTTCCAAATCATCTCAGTTTCATTTAAGAATGTTTCGCTATTTATTTTTGGCACAGCTAGCACCACTTCTGAGATCCTAAACTCCACAGTACTGCTAACTCCTTGTGACGTGGGCAAACAGTTTATCCCCTGATGCGAGGGGACTTTTCACCCATGTCTTTTTCTGCTAATCCCCATGACTTGCTTTCAGCTTGGAACCATACCAAATACTGTAAAACATTTGTGAGAGAGGAGCTCATCTTAGTTTCTTTCTCTTGCAGAAGGTTGTCGAAGATCCAGGAAAGCAGACAAAATTCTGCAAACACTAAGCATTAACCAAAAAAGAAGAAAATACTCCAGCATTTTTCCTCCTCACTTTCTCCCCAGAGCTTTGCCGCTCAATCCAGGATCTCGGAACTTGCTGACACAATGGTGGCAGGACGTTCAGTCATTGAAACCTTTGAAAATGCCGAGCAAGTCCCTGAAAGGAAATGCCATTCCCAAGAGCTGAGTTCAGTCCCCCAGCTTCCATGATGTTGAGCTCTCATTTTCAAAGAAAGCAGCTGCCTTTTTCAGCTGTCAGACTTGAGCAAAGTTTGCTCTTCATGCCCTCAAAACACAAGCTAGATGCTGTGATCCGCTGGTCATCAGATCCACTCTTTTCTTGCTCACATCCCTGGTTTCTCTTGACTAACACGCAAGGATCAGAACAGTTTCACAATAATGAGCTTTCCTCCTTCCTATGGTCCTCAGAAATAAAACCTACTTGCGAAGCCAGATTACTAAACCTTTTTGGCTGCTGTTTTAGTTGGGATTTTTTTATATCAAAACAGGATTAAAACATCTTTTGGAGACTCACTGTCATTTTATCTGAGTAAATAAGCTTAGAGTGCCTAACAGCCAATTTATAATGAAGACTTTTGTTCTTGTTACTGTGATGCAGCCCTGCAGATTTGCCCACAGCTGCAGCAAATTCAGATGGTTTTGACAGGTAAATAAAATACTGTTTAGATCTGTCATTGTTATTAATCTGCAGAGTAAAGAACTAGCAATTATATTTTGTTTCCAAGCAGATAAATTTTCATTATGATCTTGGCAGGGGTGGTATAGAATAAAGTGCATCTACGACTTCTACAGTTGTGAGGGTCCAAAACATGAAGAGTCTTTGGTCAGCTGTTGAGTTGTAAAACAAATAGGAAATAAAGGCTAAACCAGTAATAAACACCATAACAAAAAGGAACAAGGAATGTGGGATTTAGCCATGTTGGAGTTTTATTGAGATAAGCTCCAAATAAACTAAACTGCAGGTCTTGACATCAGCTGCACCAATTCAGTGCTCAGTTATTCTGAACTGTATGTCCAGGAAGCTGTGTCAGGATCTGACTGTGCTTTAAAACCCCACAGTTTGGGCCTCCATAATGACTTGTGCTTCCCAGCTGCTGCAGGGGCAAAAGGTTTCAAATGCTCCTCAGGCAATGCAGGTGAACAAAAAATTATTTGTGGAATGAGGTACTGCTCAAGGATGAGTAGCAGAATCCAGCTGCAAATATCTTATTGCATTGGTCAGAAACTGTGAGAATCAAAAAGATAAATCCCGGTGAAAGTCTTATGAGATGCCAGTCACGTCTGCTCAGCTCCTCATTCAGGTAGGCTGGCAGATGGTCAGCAAATAGTCTCACTTTTACAATGCAACCTACACTGGTTTTCAGTGTGGAAATTAGCATCCAATTATTTTCAAGCATTAATGTTCTCCAAGGAAGCAAGCTATCTCTATTTTCATTCTGCTTAGGTTCTATTTGCTCTGACACATAAGCCAATCTCGCAGGTGCTACGTCTTGTGTACACAGGCAGAATGGCAAGCCAGGGAAGAGTACTAGAAATGTGGAATAATGCAAATTGCCAGGAAGTGAATTGCATGGCTTCCAACTTTTAGAAGAGATGAAGACAAGACAAGCAAGCGAAGAAGGTGTACAGTATCTCCAAAAAGAATTATTTCCTCCGCTCCCATCTGAAAGTCTATGGTGAAAACTGTGTTTCACAGCTATCTGCCAGCTGCATAAACCATTAGAGAAGGCTACAGTCCATGGAGCACTGAGCTGTGACCCATGGAACCCTTGGTGTGACACATCCAGCAGGGTTGTGGATATTGGGATAGGTTGGTGGCAGGTCCCAAGGCAGGGTGCTTCCAAGGAAGCATGGAAGCCCATTCCCTACTTTCCTGCATCCATCGCCACCATCCTCAAACCAACATAACAGAAGGCAAAATCACTGCATTACAGATGCAGGCAACTTTGGGAAAGGCAGGATGTGTGCCAGAGCATGGCTGCTTTCAAATGAGAACTGGTTTTCTCCTCAGCAGAGCACACAGGTCCATGAAGGAGAAAGAACACCTGGGGTAAAACTCATTTTGCGTAAGATTTCACCTTACATGCCACAATCTGTGTCCAAAATGGAAATAGTCAAGTTGAACTTTGCAACCCTTTCTCATACAAGGATCCCCTGTTATGACAGGTAATGGAATTACCCTGGGTAATAACGGTTATCTGCACATATGGGCTTGATCCCAGAAGCAGAGGTCTGCAGCCCTCCTTGCACCTGCAAACTGTGTCATGTTAGGTACAAATGCTGCTGGGTACATCACTGTAAGTAAGTTGCCAGCCTGAAAATACATGAGATGCATTTAATTGTCATTAAATATGGAGAATAATGCTCCAGGGTGGCATCTTCTATTCTAACAGGGTTGTATTTGTTTTATTCTCCTGTGTGGTGGAGGAAAACTTCACTGGCTTAACCTCAGTCTGTACCATGGAGTATCTCAAGGCTGCAGCTCCAGCAGGTACAATTGTAGCCAGCCGTGTTCCTCCTGCAGATAGTGCTACTGGGAGCACGGGAGCAGTGGAGCATCCACACAGTTCCTACTAGCCATCCCCTGGGAAACACTGAAGTGGGGTTGCCTCCTGCCACGTGTTTGGTACAGACTGTAGTTGTATTTTTAAAAGCAAAGGGCACATTAAACTCCTCCTTTGCATCACTTTTGGAATCACCGCAACTGGGTATCCACAAAGCACCAAACAGCCTCCCTCGCTGAGATGTGCTCCGCTCCATGAAGGTGTCAGCGTGTCCCTCCTCCCATGCCAGAGCCGTACGGCTCTGAGGCTGGACATGAGCGCCCGGGACAAGGCTGCCGGGAAGCAGAAAAGGATGGAGCATGCCTCCACCCCACTCCTCCCTGGGAAACGCTACCGATGAGCAAAATCTGGAGCCCCGGGCCTGGGCAGAAGGCAGAGCCCCTCTGGATTTGGGGTCCTGTTCCGGGCAGCAGGGACACCCCCTCAAGCAGCAGGCCCCGGGTCCCTCAGGCTGGAGCATCTCTGCCACCGGGCCCGTCGCGGCCCCCACCCCAGCGCCCACCGCCCTCGGCCGCTCACCTGCTCGGGCCCCTGGAAGCAGATCCTGCAGAGCGGGGTGCGGATGCCGCTGTCGACGCTGCTGCCCAGCGAGTAGCGGTCCTCGGCCTTGCCCTTGCCGAAGTCATCCGAGGAGGTGCTGCTGGGCAGGGAGGCGGGCGGCT